ATTTAGCGTATGCAGGGTTTATAGTCGGAGGGTCAGCAGCCTGCCAAACCTGCAGCAGCATCGCCGTGTGTGTATGCGCGCTTTCGAAGAAGCAACTTGCATTTAGTACCTCGAACACGTCAAAGACAAATCATACAGAATTCAAGACTTGGTAAGGTCCGCACTGGCGCACGGACAGGTACCGTATTGGGTGGTAGTGGGGGAATGGAGCCCTACCCTAAGGGTCCAAGGACCCAAATAATCAGGTTTTAGGGCCCAAATACTTTAATATTAATGGTATTTGGGCCCTACAACCTAATTATTTGGGTCCTTGGACCCTTACATAATCCCCATATATCCCTATATATCCCCCTATAACCCCTTTAAAGGAACCCTATTCTTTGGGTGCTTGGACCCTTAGGGGACCCTTGCAGATTCACCCTTGCTCAAATTGCGCTGTCCTTGCGCAAAGCTTGTGCTGGCTGGGCTTTAACAACAAAAGGAGCTAACCAAAAGTACCTTTTTGACTAGGGATCCAGGTGTATGAATCATACATAAAATGGCTCCTGAGGTCATGATCTACACGGTACCTACTTTGTTTTTTTATGGCTTGCCGGGGCTGTATTGCCCTTGCACTCGCCCTTGAGCGGGCTTTCGCGAACCCAGTGTGAGGCATGTATAATTAGATCCTCAGAAACGGCAGTCATGTTACACAGGGCAGGCTCAAGAATGGCCCTCGTATGGACTCAGACTTTTCGAGGTCTAGGTGGTATTCAGATTTCAAGAGTAGAGGGGCACAGCGTGTTTCAAACTTGAAGTGTGGAAGCTTGTAAGGCTACCACCACCATTATTAGCTACAGCAGTCTCCGCAACTACACTATAACGAGCCGAATATCCAATCATGCGATCCCGTAGGCTAACCCCCTCCCCATCATGAAGCCCATGACCTTTTTCCTTCCTGAAGTGGTAGATAGACCATTATATCTAAGGTGGGCCCGTAGTACGGGCCCCTTCATCCTGGTCTCATACATATCATAGATCCTATACAACCCTAAAAACTGGCTAATGGCCCATAGTAAACAGGTAGCGACCAATATGAAAAGCCAATAGTCAGGACCATACACTGTACCATGGGGCAGCTTCCTGTTAGTAGGGGTGTGGCGTAGTTCATTCTTATCCCAACCCTAGATCCTAAACTCTACACCCTAAGCCCTAAGTCTCAAATCCTAAATCCTAAACCCTAAACACTAAACACTAGAGTAAGCAGACCAGGATATCCCAATCCTCCAAACCCCCAACCGTGTTTAAAACAGGGGCTGTTGCAAAGGGTCCACGTAGGTATATGGTTTAAGGTTTAGGTATATTCTTAGGGTCCAAACAGGGTTCCCATATACCTACTTTCAGGCCCACGTATATACCATATAGCTGCCTGAACCCTTTGAGTGGGTGGATGGGCCTAAATCCCAATTTCCCAACGACCCTACGCAGAAACTGTTAAACACCCAGACTGCTCAACAACATCCACCACGTTCAGCTGTAGAGAGCTTATATAAAGCCCAACTCTACAGGTCCAAGGACCCTTAAGGTTGGGCTCATCTGAAACTCTAAAGTATGTGGATACCTTATCTTCTGAAGTTTCTCAGTGGTCTCAAAGAAGCATAAGCCCTGAGCCCAAAGCGGAGCCAAATGCCCTCAAAAGAAAAAACTGTGCTCTAAAGCCTAAAGCTTACGCCCCCCCTAACCTGAGCCCAAAAGCCATAGCCCCACACCCTGAGCCTTTACCCGGAGCCTCCCGTGCAGTTCCTCTTTGGGTAGTATAATTGAAGAACGACACAAGGAACCCAAAAAGGAACAACGTAGGAGCCTCAGGGTACTGTAAAGCCTCAAATGGTAGTTTCGATACATAGGAGACACCAAAAAAGACCCCAACAAGCATATAATCCTGATTATGGAGACCTGGCAAAAGGGACCGCTAATTTCCGGAAACCTTAGTCCCTATCAAGCCCCATGCAATCCCAGTTTCCATTTCATTGTTCATCTTCTTTTCCAGTTGACTCTCGATTACGGGGCCCTAAATGCCGTATTATATCCTTATATAAACTCTATAGATAGAACCCTAAAACCAAACCCTGTTGGGGTCCACAATTCTTGTGGTTGGACTGGTCGCGCCAAGTTACTGGAGGTCAGCACTGTGCTGCCTGCTGCGCTCTGCCAGAAGGCCTGAATGACTGGCAGTCTTTAGGGTTCAGGGTTCAGGATTCAAGGTTTCAAAGTTTCAGGTGTAGGATTTAGGGTTTAAGGTGTTTGATTTAGGGTTCAAGGTTCAGGAAACAGGGTTTAGGGCTCATAGGACCAAAAGGGTCCAAGTACCCCCAAACAATTGGGTTCAGGTGCCGAAAGCCATCTTGGATTCTAGCAGTTGAAGCCTAGAAGCCTATTTCTCGTGTATTTGGACCCTTAATTGAGGGGCTTTAGGGATCAAGCTTTGTAGGGCTTAGGGATTCTGCTTAGAGATGCGGGGCCTGGGGTGCAGGAAACTGCAGTGCTCTGGATACCCTAAACCCTGAGTTTTGGGGTTAGGTTCTGGGATTAGGGGTTAAGTTTCGGGATCTAGGTTGCATAGAAGATGCCTAGCCCCATGCCATAAGCCAGAACCGGAAGTTTTTGAAGGTTTGGGGTCAATGGATACCGAACCTGAGCAAAGCAGATATGGTAAAAAAAAAACAATAGGGAACCCCAATATAGACCCCAAAATACTATAGTCCTTATTATGGGGAGCCCCAAAAGGGTACCCATAATTTTGGGAAACTACCATATAAAGGATTCACACAGGCAATCGCCAAGGTGGCCAAAAGTTTGCAGTCCGGAGGAGTGAATGCCGAAACCTGCAAAACTAGGTGCTGTCCTCCATGATTCCAGAATCCTAGTATATGGTTGGTTGTCAAAATTGTTGTCCCTTTTCGGGTAGCCTAAATATTAGGTGCCGTATTGTAATAGGGACCCCAAAAGGGACCATAATTTTGACAACCACCCATATAGAGGGTTTTAGGGTTTAGGGGTTTTAGTTGTTTAGGGGTCCCAGGGATGATTCCAGAAACCTAGTATGTATAGAGCACATGTGCTTCAAACTGTGCTGTAGGTCTGAGCATTAGGGAAGGTATTAGTCCAAAGTGCGCAGGTTTTCCAGGAAAGTGTCAGGATTTGGTGTTTTTGGTGTTTGGAGGCCACGGGTCACAAGCTGAATGCAATTCCTGCATTAGGTTCTTGGCTTCAGGGGAAGAAAGCAGGACCTCGTTTCTTCTAATCCCCTCTCCTTATATCAAACCCCCCACCTCCCCTAATATTGAATGCTCACAATATATGATTATATACCGTGTTTGATATTAGTAAGGGGCGGGGACTGTAAGATTAGGGGGATTGAACTAACTCAGGTGGGAGAATCGAAAGAGCGTCTGACGCCTTGCAAGTATGGAGCGTGACTGAGGCATCAGCTACTCTATTGCAGACTGTTTCGGATATTGCCCTTACCCTACTGCAGTCATGTACATGACCCCCGGTAAGGGTACCCGGTAGATGGTTACTGCACACTCGACCCTGCCGAACTGTGAAAGCGGGGACAGTATCCGAAGTCAAGCCATCAACAGCAGGTCTGAACATAGTCTGCACGTTTCTTGAGACTATGGCTGGGGAAGTAGGGCTCTGGGGGTTCTGTTTCAGGCGAAGACACTGGTGGTTTAGGGCTTGAGTTTAGGGATCTGCGGCCTACCATCGGGGATACGACACTGCTGCTTCGGTGTAAGTGACCCTCTAAACCCCTATAAAATCCCAGCTTCCATGTCATTGATGGGGGAGAACGCCACCATTATGGGGCCATGCACCTCTAGACCTCGCTAAGAAGTCTTTCTTCTAAATTGGGTATGTGCCCGGATTACGCGGTTTAGGGTAAGGGTTTAGAGTTGAGGGCTTGGGCCTCTGGACCTGATCAGTCAGCTTCTGCATACTAAACTATGACCCTAAGTCTTGAGTTCAAAAATTCACAGAACGCACGCTGCATCATGAAGCTCGTGTAGTTTAAATTCCTTCCGAATCTTACCCATTGATGATTATGCTTGGCTTAATACTAGGATCCCTGTTTTAGGATTGAGAAGGGCGCCATGTTTTAGCCTAAATATGTTTATACAGGCAGGCAAACAGCGAACTTTAAATATTAAACGCTGAGCCCTAGACCCCAAATCCTAACCCTGAACCCCGAATCCTAGACACTATACGCGCTAAACACTAACCCTAAACCCTAAATCCTGTACCCCGCAAACCCTGAACACCTAGCCTACACACTAAACACTAAACTCTGAATACTGCAGTTGAAGAGGGAAATTCGGTCTGAGGTTAAAACCATGGGCCCCTAGCATGGAACATGGTGGAACCCCAAGCTCAAACAGTACTCAAAATAACTACCGTTCAATCACAAATGAGGACCCCACCAATCCTCTATTAATCCCCGTATACCCTACACTAAATGTCACAGCCTGGGCCAATGTGGCCCAATTGACATGAGCTGATGTGAGCACAGATGATCTTCTGCAAAGCTGAAGACTTTTGGCCAATCCGCGTGTCTCACCTCCAAGTGTGCCGCACTTGAGTTGTGCGGCATCTTACGGCGTAAATCAAGGTGACACCTCCTTCTCCTCAGCAACTGCCGGCCAGTGGCTGAGGTTCACTGGCCTTTCGGCATTGATCTGATGCGGAAATCGTTGCCTAAAAAGCTTCCAGCAAGAAATGTTCACGTTTTCTCAAGAGCAATCCGGGCCCTTAACCCTGGGATCCTTATATACCTACTATATATCCCATACGTACCCTTACGAACACCTAGCATGAACCCAAGGGGGCAAAAGGGCGCTAAACCCTAAACCATTACTTAGCCCACATTACCCTGGGGAGAAAAAAGGATCCCTTTTACATAAGTATAACGAATCCCATACCCCAAAAAGTATAAAAAGGATCCCTAACATTGATCCAGACTCGCTTCAGGATGCCATTCCATTCCTGTGCTGTAGAGGAGGGCTTCACAGGCAGCCCAGCCCTGGATTTGATACTTCTGCTCCATTGAAGGGATCCAGCAGCAATGACCATGGAAAGGTAAAAGCCAGCTCTGTAGATGGAGCCCATGGCCAGGATATCCATGAGCACGATGTGGGCGAGAACATACAAACATGCAGCCGCCATGTGTATGCGGTCGTGCAAAACCTAGGTTCCCTAGTAACCCATTAATAACAAGGGTACCCTTTTTCCTGCTGTTCAGCTTTAATAAGGAGACCCCAAAGCAAAAAGGGAAACCCTAAACCCCTAAACCCCTAAAGCCTAAACCCTAAACCCCTAAAAAGGGTACTACTGGGATACCTAGAAACAGGCTGGTGCGGTTTGTTAAACCAAGCCGTCACGCCTGCCGTGGCGAGCATCAAGGCGGCAAAGATGCCAACAGCTGTATCTGTACTCCGAAGGACCTGCAAGAAGACGGGGTGGATGTTGAGGAACTTAAACTAAGTTACGATAAAAAGGAACGTCTACTATTCGCTACTCACTGTATACCCATACCATGGTAACTTAATTTCAGCTCCTTAACAGCAACCATCAGCAATCCATGTATCTGTACTTTGAAGAACCTGCAAGAAGAAGAACCAGCCGACCAGCCAAAAGCCCAAGCACAGGTGTCGTGGAAGGCCGCGGGATGTTACGTAGCTGAGAGAGGCCTTGGGCGTTTTTTGGGTGCCGATCAAACTTAGCGTTCTTACAACTTTATACTGAATATACAGAGAAAATATACATATATGTATATATGGACGCCGGTCCATAATGGTTGAAAATTGCTATCGAGAATGCCTTAAATCCTAAACCCTATAACCTACACCCTAAACCCTAAACCCTAAGCCCTATGCCCCACACCCACAAATTCCTAAATCCCAGAGGCTGGGAACTTGAGCATCTTCTCGGAGGCGCCCAAGTAGTACATAATAATGGCTGAATACTGGCCTGGAGAGTTGAAAATTGGGGGGGGGGGGGTCCCTTTAGGGTTTAGGGTTTATGGGGGTTACAGGGCGTGTATATGAATATATATATATACACAGGCATCAAGGGATCTGGGTTAACGGCTTAGTTTTTTGGATTTCGTAAGCTATAGGGATGTAGCCCTAATAATGTAGGATCGAATGGAAAAGCACATGGAAAATGAAGTATGGACTGGGATTATGCAGGGGTTTACAGACATTAGCGTTTCCAAAATTAGGGGTACCCTCTTGCCGGATATAGCCCCCCCAACCCTAAACCCTAAACCCCAAACCCCAAACCCTAAACCCTAAACCCTAAACCCCCCCCATGCTTATGGAAACTACAGGTTCTTGGGCCTGCAAATTTAGGCCTTTTAGGGTTTAGGGTTTAGGGCTTTTAGGGTCAAGGGTTTGGGATCCACACTCCAACTGAGTAGTGTTTTTTGGTGGTTGAACCTAGTAAGATAGTAATATTAAATACTATACCCAAGAGGAGGATATAATCTTACTCTATATTGAGCACCATAGTATCCCCAAATAAAATACTACTCAACTGTTTCTTTTGAGTTAGCAGAGGTGAGCCCCCACTCGCTACTGAAGCCTGGTACCGCAAACCATAAACTCAAGGCTCATTTATCCCATGATTAATAAACCCACTCTCTTTAAGGGCCTAAATATTAGTGGCCCTAATTATGATAATCCCTATTAAGGGGAGGGGGTTTACTAATCAGGGGTCTGGGTTAAATAAACCTGCAACCCAAAACCCCGCGCCCCAAAGCCTAAACCTTATATGCCCAACCCTGCACACTAAATGCAGAGTCCCTTTACATCCTTACATATCCCAGTAGGATCCCTTTTTCAAAAGGGCCCAAGCCCTAAACCATAATCCCTAAACTCTAAACCCTGATCCCTAAACTCCTGCAAGCGGCTGCAAAGGAAGCTTATCTTGGCCAGGTGTAGCTTTTGAACTTCCGGCTGGCCCAAGGAACACCGAAAGTTGAGACCTGGCTTAGGGTTTAGGAGTTCCATTGAGCGTGTAGGGTTTGGGGATTCGGAGTTTAGAGGTTCAGGGTGTAAGTTTCTAGGTTTCGGGTTTAGGGCGTCAAGGTGCACATATGCGCATATGCATATCCAGAACCCATAACAATAGCCCCAAAGGCCATTAGTTTACGCCCTTTTGGGGTACAGGTAGACCCTAAACTCCAAACACCTGCCTTCCTTAATCCATCTTCGTCAGCGGATATACCACTAACCCTCATACGGCCAAATATAGACTGCCCTATATAACCCCAGTTGCCATTCCGCTTTGAATGCTCATTTGATTTTCTTTTATTGGGGGTAATATCCCGGAACCCTAAATCCCAAACCGTGGAGCCAAAATCGTAAACCCTAAGCCACTATCCACCTTCTTCAGCGGCATTGAACAGCAAGCTCAGCAGCGCAGACCCGATCTGCGGCTTTCGCAGCCATTCCTCCATGGCTTGCATTACCGCCGCGCTGAAGCAGCACCCTTTGCAGGGAGAGCCCAGTATGAGCTACAGTCTAAACTACTTAAAGGGGTATATGTTTGGGACTGCTATAGGGTTTTCAAGGGCGATGCTACGAGCTTAGACTATGGCCCACATGGTCTAAGGGCTGAGGGTGTAGGGTTTCGGGTAACCGGGTATACCTCCTTGAAGGAACCTGCCTCAAATAAGACTAGGATGTCCAGTATGACTTTGATACAAGTGACATAAGGAATAACTTGAAAACCCTAAACCCTAAACCCTATACTCATTCCTCAGCAAAAGTGGATTGTCGTGGGTCCGTATCGTGGAAAAGAATGCTCTCAGGGTTTAGGAAGTTTGGGGTTTACGGTTTAGGGTTTAGGGTTTGGGGTTAGAGGGTGTAGGGTTCAGGGTGGCCAGTTCGGTTGGACCCGAATCACATAGGCGCACTCTGGCAAACATCGTGGTCATGACCCTAAACCCTAAACCCTAAGCCCTATTCTTGCGAGCCTCTTAGGGCTCCCTACACCCTAAACCCCTAAACCCTGCATTCTAAACCTTGAACCCTAAACCGGGCTGCCTGAACCCTCAACCCTAACACCTCAACCACTAACCCTACGTACTGTACATCCATCTCGACTCTGAAGACTCAAGACCCTGCCCCCCTCGCTTTGAGGAAAATGTCCATGGATTAAGCAGCTGAAGAGCCAGTGGCTGAGCGTGCATCAACTGCGTTACTCTATAGGAGGGTTTAGGGTTTAGGGTTAGGGATAATGGAAAATAGAATGGAAACTACTAAAGTCTATTGGGATTAAATAGGGATAATGGAAAAATTGGGAGTTGAGAGCAGAGATGTCTAAGTAGAACAGGCTCAAGGGGCGTATGTTTCACAGCGGTTCTACAGCCGTCATGACGGAGCCTCTTGCCTATTCAGGCTTCTGGGAGCTACCACGGCCCTCAAGGATACGCCTCACAACGTAAACTCTCTCCACCAATAACCAGGGCTAAGAAAGGTTAAACTTTATTATAGAGTCCAAAAATTAAGGAAGCCCACAAGTTTAAAGTTCTTCTTTTGGCTAAGTACGTAAAGTCTTTGGCAGCAAAGCTCAAATGCATTGTAAGACAAATGTCGATCTTTGTGTCTTCGCGGTATGCCGCCACAACCCTGAACCCTAAACCTAATGTAGACCCATGATTCATAAACTCCCCCTCCTTTTAAGGGCCTCAATATTAGGATCCCTATTATAATCCCTATTAAGGGGAGGGGGTTTATTACTCCTTTTAAGGGCCTTAATATTAGGATCCCTATTATAATCCCTATTAAGGGGAGGTGGTTTATTAATCAGGGGTCTGGGTTAGGTAGGTTCTTTGCCGTGGAGCACAAGAGACTCGTGAGCACGTTAGCTGCCACCCTGCAAGAACGTCCCAGTCAAATGCGGCCTTTTCGGCGGCTAAGAATGATAAGAGTAGGGCTGAAGGATTAACCGTTCAAAGTTGAGGGATTTAGGCCTTAGGGCTTTCAGGGTTTGGGGCTACGCTATCTACTTGTGCTTCAGTTTCAGTATGACAAACAAATCATGTCCAACAATGACCCAGACGTGCGGGTCTCTGATGTCATGGGCCCCCTTTGAATTGGTCTCTACAATAAGAACCTTCTGAGCCTGTCGATGCGTCAAGAAGTCGAAAAAAATGAGAAATCTGAAAAATTCGCAACATGAAGCCCTAATTTTTATGACTCGGCCTTTGCCATAACTTGCCTTAGACTCTAGAAGCTAGTCAGTTTAGGGTTTAGGGTATAAGCCCTACTTCCATGAACATTACCAACTTTTCCAGCTGTTTCTCCATGGCCCGGTATATTTAGCTTTTCCTACTTGGCAAGAAACGCTGCAGCCTAAAACCCAACCCTAAGGAGCCTGAAGCCACTGGCTCCTGAAAACTAGTAATTTCCCTGAATAAGAGGACCCCAATATAGACCCCAATATATTACAATCCTTGTTATGGGGATCCCAAACACAGTACCCCTAATTATGGGAACTCCCAACTCTCTAACCACACCACTTCAGCAAAGAAGGTCATAGCCGCGTATGCTTCATAAACCCCGGGCACACCCCTCCAGGTTTATAGCCCCCCTTAAATAGATAGAATATGGCTTTGGGTACATTAGAACAAGATCCCCATATAACCCATATTCTATCTACTCAAGGGGGAGTATAGGGTTTAGGGGGTTTAGGGAAAAGCAGTCCACCCTAAACCCTGCCCCCTATACCTTCAATAATGCTAGAGCCCCTGGTATGGTCCCTAAACCCTAAACCCTAAACCCTGTGGTAGACGGCGCCTTGGCCAAGACTATCTGAAGGTAGCCATCGCCGACCGTCCATGCACAGTCCTCCGGCCGAATACGCCTGGGACGACAAGGGTCTGGGGCTTTGGGCTTCAAAAGGCTTATACGGTTTATCCCCTAACCCTAAACCCTAAACCCTTATCCCCTAACCCTGAGCCCTATAGGGTTTATCCCCTGATAAACCCTAAACCTTATAGGGTTCATCCCCTAGGTCTAAACCCTAAACCTTAAAACTCTCAACCGCGTTTTACGGTTGAGGGTTCGAAGCAGGTTGAGGGCTGAGGGCTTTGGGTGTAAAGCTATGGGCTTCGTAGCGGGGGTACTTGACAAATGAAGTGTTTTACGGCATTGTTGTGTAGTATGCAGCCTGAAAAGATCAGGCCCTACCCATGATAAGACCGTAGGATTTAGGGTTTAGGTGCCTGAGATTAGACCACACGAAAGTAGAGCTAGCGTAGCCCTAGGGTTTAGTGTTTAGGGTTTTGGGGCTTAGGAAACCCTACCTACAATTGCTTGGAGGGTCAAGGGGGGCTTAGTAAGTATGCTTACAACTTATAACCCCATGTAAGCCGCGTGGTAACCCCAATTAAGCTTATTTGTAACCTTCTTGCTAAGTGCCCCCGACCCAAAACCCCAAACCCTAAACTCTAAACTCTCTAAACTCTAAACCCATCTAAACCCTAAGCCCTGAACCCAAACCAT